CGAGGAGGAAACTCGCCGAAGGAAACGGCACCGCCGGTGAGCCCTTCGCCCCTCGATAGATTAAGCCCCGAATAAGCCATAAAAAGGCGCCCCGACGCAGGCCTTGTGTTTTAAAAGCCGCGGGCGGGGCGGGGAGGCTTTCTTCAGGAGGTGGGATGGGTGGGGGCGGGGGATGATAACGATTCAGGAGGGAACGAAGCGTAAAATTAATCAGGAAGGAAAAAGCCGGGCTCTCGTGTACGGCGGCAGCGCCTTCCGCGCGGCCCTAGAGCCCTTTAAAAAGATATTGAAGGACGCAGCAAGGCGTATCGTAGGCGGATCGCCGGGCAGGGGGCGGAGCGGTGGGGGCGGGAGGCGCGGACTTCGAGAGACCGTGTACGCGACGCGCTCCGACTGTGAACGGGCTCATCGCGCGACAGCGACAAGTGGAACCCCGCGCGTGCTCCGGCCCTCGCGCGCCTGCCCCCCCACAATCCTGTTTCGTTCAGTTACCGTGGTTCGCGCCTTCGCGGAAGGATGATGCGACGGAGGGGGTGGGGGGGCACGTCGTTTGTGAATAAGGGCGTTGGCGATCGGAGTTTTGTGTTCGGAGGAGTAGTATGTAAAAGGGCCTAGGTCCTGTCTTTTCCCCCCTGTTTGTTCGACAATTGCCCACCTGTTTTACTAGAAATTCTCAATTTAAAAGGGGCCCATTTTAAAAATGTATAACATGATGTTACATTAGGTAATATTCTTGACTCGAAATTCTGCCTGTTTATTACTGTTACTTCGGGCATTGCTTCCCGAAACGAGCACTAACGGACATTAATGTTCTTTCTATCTACAGGAAATGTCACAAAAAGGTTGACTAGATGACTAAATACGAAAGGCACTTTAAAAAACTTCACAGCTCCATTAGTTAGAGTGCAGCCTTCTTCATTGCTGGGCAACGAAAAAGGCCGTTGACAGCAAACTTGTATAAATCTACGATTCGCCTTCGTTCAATCGCGCTGTCAGAATTTGCTGCGAGAGAGAAAACTTCCACTTTCATATTGGCTCCCACTCATGCTTCCACAGGTTCCTTAATTCCAGCATAATTTTCTCAGGTTGGGAATAACACTGTGAACGGCTGTGGTGTGAATGTTTATTATACTGCTGCATAATTGATCTCTTAGATAGTGTTTAACTTGGGGGGATTTATCTCTTTTTTGCGGTCTCGTAAAATAATCGAATTGCATTAATGCAATTGGTGAGAATTGTTCAGCGTGATTGCCATTAAATGTCCTATAGTTTTTAACATGTGGGTTAACTATTTATTCTAGTTAAAAACTTGAGTTTAGTTAACTATTACTGGTACTCTCTAGACAAGTCGTGTGTGCGAGTATTCTTCCTTAGCACCCCCCCCCCCCCCCCCCCCCCCCCCCCACCCCCCCCCCTAATTATCCCATGGATTAATTTGTGTCTATAATAAAAAAACAACCGATTCCGAATTATATGCAAGTCACTAGTACGTAGTGAAACTGCTGCAAAAAAGTCCCAAGTCTGCGGGAAGGAAGGAAAGGTCTTGGAGCGTGGAGAGATGTTTCTAATCAGGACCATTAAACTTTTGCTAGTTCAAGATAGAAGATACTGTCTGGTATCGGTACTCTGTGGACGCCAGTAGAAGCGCGTGTTTACATTGACTCAGTGAGCGCAGATAAAGGAAGCCAAAAACCTGCTGGACTCTACCCGGGAACAGTCTTATGACTCGCATAATATCCGAAGACACCGTGAACCGCGAATAGTTGGTGACTTCCGTAAACGCTTGCAGCCGATTAGACCCGTCTAAGTGGCTCAGCGGCATCAACTGATGTCCACTGCAGTTTCCTTTACGTGAGGGGTTCAAAAGTCCCGACTGTAGGTGGCTTTTCCGAATTGCCCTAAAATATCCTTAGCTAGAATTAACCCCTGTCAAGAGGGAGAATTGTAGCACCAGCCTCTCGATTGTATTTGCCCAATGTTTCTCCGTTCGACATCAGACACATGTTAGAGAGAACCCTTAGCAAATTAGGCCCACGGATTGCGTGATATCTTCATTTCTCTTCCTGAGTGTCCTATCTTCATCCCTACTGTCTTTCACCCAACCCACCAACAACAACCCACACACACACACACACACACACCACACACCACACACATACTACAACTTACTACACTACTACACATGTAGGCCGAGATCATTCGTTAGCTTAGAGCTTGTCTCGGCTGCGGGTGGGGGCGCTCCTCACTGAGGGAAATACCTGGGAACGGGGAAGTCCCCCGCAAGCAGGCATGTAGGTTGGTGCTGAATCTAACTACCTAATGAGGTCGGACACGATGACGCACCGGATCTAACTACTTAATGAGGCCTTCTTCCGCGACAGAACATTTACTACACAAACGGACGTAATGACTGTTGAAGATGACGCTCCCGTGAACACGAAATAATCGTCAACCGAAGACACGATGACGCAACGTTGACGACTCCTTATTGCTCACACCGATTAGTGTTTGTCGCGTTTCGCTTTCTTTTGCCGAGCGGGCATCTTACAAAACAACAACTGCCATCGCGTGCTTGCAAATTATATTTCGCACACGGCGCCTTCAGCGGGGTTATTAAGGTTACAAAACTGGGCCAGTCGTAAAGGTACAACTACCTTAGGCAATCTCGATGAAAATAGTACGGGTCGCGTTCCGAATCGACCACCTTGAATATCGATAACTTCCTCGTGCGCCCGAGAAGGTATATGGGGCTTGAGAGTTACAGTAATAGTTTTTGGAGCTTTGTCCCGCCTATTTTCTGATTCGAGGTAAAGGCATTCGAAATTTTGTGGGTGTCAATGTCGTTAAGGTGATGTACTTCGAACCATCCCACATTAAACCAATTAAAGTGAATAAAATATAGAAAATTGATAATTTTTTAATAGTGTTATTGTTATCCTGACTCTCGTTACGCAAAAACTGAAGAGAAGTTCAGTCGTCATAATTTAAATCTCACGGATAGCCACTCCGTTTCTCAGGGTAATTGCCCACATCACCGTACGTGATCGAAAGAGCTTACTGACCACCTTAATGTCTGGTCTTTGAACATATTGGCATCAGAAGTCAATCATTAGTGAACAGAAAAAACAGCAGCTTTTCATAAAAGTGAATGAATTGCTTTTAAAAATTACTCTAGATACATATTTTGCAATTACTTAAGATAATAAAAGCAATGTTTTTACCCCTATGAAAATTTCTTTCCTGAACCACCATGATAACGCATGTTATCTTACAGATTATTGATTCATAAATAGACATTTTTATTCTTTTTATTAAAATACAAGAATTTAAACAACCGCAAAATACAAAGTATAAAGTCTGTTTAGTGAGAATGTTTGTATTCGAATCGTTGAAGCAATGAACCTCATGGCTATTGTTACGTACTAAATTATAATCAGTCTTATAAAGTTTTCTAGTGAAGATGGGAAATGAACAGTAAGAAAGCTTTTATGGCAGCCTTAAGTGGACAGATGCCCAGTTCAGACTTCTCGACCCCCAAGTCATTAACACGCAAGCGAACAGTCCGTGTCGGAAAAGCAACTATTTATATTTCGCTTAGCGGCGATTCGTCCCAGGGGAGAAACAATCGTTGTGAACGAACTCGAGTTTTCCGGGTCGATTTCCCCCTCCCCTGCGTCCTCGCACGACCATAAACCTCCTCCCGCCAGCCTTATTAAACAGCCCTCACTTAGAGAATGTCATACCTAGCGTCACCCCTCGTACGTCGCGGCTCGAAAATTTCCCTGGCGCGCCGGAAGGAACCCCTGGCGCACCACGTGGAGAATAAAACGTTCCCCTTGTGGCGGCGGCGGCG